GAAAAGAGAATGTGCCTGCACAATGGCCCATGATGACAATTATCACTATGTTCAAAAGCGTGCGCGAACGCTGTCCGAAAACCACTGTGGCATCTGTCTGATAGCTGTAGCACTGAAGGTCTCTCTGGTCTCTGGTCTTATCCTTCTAAGTTTGGCTGAACACAGGGAGAGAGATCCGCGTAAACCAAGCTGGGTTGCGTCCTCCAAGAAGATGCACTGATTATACCTTCACCCTCCGACAAATTCTGGAACAGCCACACTGCTTCCAACAACCACCAATGGACTAGGGGACCGTCAGACATGGTAGCTACTGCGGATCCAAGGTGTCCCCCATAAGTTCTTGACCCTCACTAAGGCGCTGTACACGAACTTCCTCGACCGTGCGAAGGTCTATTGGAAACTCTCCTGAGTTCACCACGTTAAGTGGTGTCAAACAGACCTGTGCTCTTTCACTTTTCGTCTTCAACCCCGCCGTTGATACGAACATGGGAGACTCAGTATCAGCCTCTGATGCCTGTTAGGTTGAAGTGCTCCCTGGACGTTTGCTTACTGATATAGAGTACGCAGACGACATAGCTCTGCATGGATCTGACATCGTGGCACTACAAACGATATTCAATAATTTGAATAATTCTGCCTCAGGGTTGGAAATGCGTTTCGCACCTCCAGCTTATCTGTCAAGGGTCGAGTTCACAATCCTGCGGTGGGGTCAGAAATCTTGTCGCTACGCGCTGAGGACGTCAAAAGAGTTAGTTATCAAAGCAGGTGATGATGATTATGCTGAGGCAAGTGGTCAATAGTTAGAAAGAGATGATGATATATTCTCGCTATCGATAACTAACGCTTTTCTCGTTCTTCATTTGCAGATGTTTGTCTACGTCTTTTCGTTTGCCCTCCTCGGGCTTTTGTTTTACGTGGTTATCCCGGTGATCGTTATCATCCTCGAGTATACGATTGGACCGAAATTGTTTGGCAAAAGAAAGCAGCTGCGTAAAGCCGGGCAATGGGCTATNCGATATCAGTTCCTTATATACAAATGTGACAAAAGGGGAATCTTTAGAAATGGCCAAGCGATGGCTACTATCAGGCACCAGCTTTGTAGAACGGGAGCAGTTTTCGGTAGATAAAATGGTGGCAGACATAAAAGCATGCCTGAATTTCACTCACTTATTCTTTAACTCTGGTTTACAGTGGAGAACAAGTTCTAGCAATGGCAAATATATTTGTGAGAGAATTTGAACAGAAAGTTCTAGGCGATTCCCATACACACCCTAGATGTTCTCGCGTTATGAAGATGACACTTTCGTTGTGATGAAACGAGACAAGTTTAGTCAGTAGTACAACTATCTGGATGACCTGAATCCATACATCAGACTTACTTTGAATATAAACTCCAGTTCGGATGCACTGATAATTTTGGACTGCATGACACAAGACCGTTGGAAACACGTGGTGGTGAATGGTTATCAGAATGATGAGTCATCAATTGAATTAGCTTGGAGTTGATGTGCACTTAATCTCACCTACCCCACTCCCACAACTAAAGTGTCGTGTCAATGTCAAGCTCACAAAACTTACCGTAGTTACCTGAGGTGAATTATCAGCTGAAGCACTTTGAACCGGAAGACTAAGGAACTAAACCCGAATAACATAATTTGAAATTCCCCCAAGTCCATTAGCCCTATGATTAGGGCAACCACACTAACTGACACGAACCTTTACTGATATTCAACATTGATCTAGTGTGCTAATTACTAAGAAGAGGTCTTACTGATTGGTTCGTTAATCCAGGTGTTGACGTCTTCTGGTCGGAGATGAGCAGGTAATGGCTGCTTTCGGTGTGCATATGTTCGATCACAAATGCAGAAAACGCACGGCAAAGTTGAACTATGACTCATGCCAATAGTCCTGAGGAGCGAAATCGGCTCGGTAATCTACTTTTCACAGATTCCGTTTTTATTTCACTTACACAAATGGTCGTCTGCTCATTTGAAAGGTTGAAAGTCTCCGGGGTTTCCTCCTAACATTGAGCAGTCAGTTGAATGTCGAAGTGAGCATTTGTCTTTTAGATTAAGGAACTTGCAAAATCAGAGGTTTTTTTGCCAGCCGGCTGGATGTCTGACCTGAGTTGAGCCATTGCGGGTGTTCTGGGGGAGTAGGGTAAGCGCTGTATTCAGCTCTATCAAACTGCTTAGAGAGTGATATAGTCTTTTCCTAGCTGCGATATTGTCCTCATGAATCGTTCACAGTTATTCAAGCTGACTAGACGGTCCTTTCTCATATTGGTTGTTGTGAAAATGAGATTCCGATAACTACCGTGTTTCAGACGAGTTTAGATCGGGCTATATCGAGAAAGGTACGGGTGTTTTCTCTTCTGTATAGGATTTTCGTTGCCGAATTCGTTTTCCGCCTGCCCGATAGCAAGTCACGCGTATTGACAATATTCCACCGAACATATACCAGTAATGAATGGAATAGGTTCCTCATCCCATGAGCTGGCCAGCTTCTTGGTAGGTATTCTAAAACCCCTCACCGGAACTCATAACTTTGCAAAGTAGCGGGTGTTCATCGTGAAACCTGGTGACATTCTTGTAAGTTCCGATATCAGTTCCTTATATACAAATGTGACAAAAGGGGAATCTTTAGAAATGGCCAAGCGATGGCTACTATCAGGCACCAGCTTTGTAGAACGGGAGCAGTTTTCGGTAGATAAAATGGTGGCAGACATAAAAGCATGCCTGAATTTCACTCACTTATTCTTTAACTCTGGTTTACAGTGGAGAACAAGTTCTAGCAATGGCAAATATATTTGTGAGAGAATTTGAACAGAAAGTTCTAGGCGATTCCCATACACACCCTAGATGTTCTCGCGTTATGAAGATGACACTTTCGTTGTGATGAAACGAGACAAGTTTAGTCAGTAGTACAACTATCTGGATGACCTGAATCCATACATCAGACTTACTTTGAATATAAACTCCAGTTCGGATGCACTGATAATTTTGGACTGCATGACACAAGACCGTTGGAAACACGTGGTGGTGAATGGTTATCAGAATGATGAGTCATCAATTGAATTAGCTTGGAGTTGATGTGCACTTAATCTCACCTACCCCACTCCCACAACTAAAGTGTCGTGTCAATGTCAAGCTCACAAAACTTACCGTAGTTACCTGAGGTGAATTATCAGCTGAAGCACTTTGAACCGGAAGACTAAGGAACTAAACCCGAATAACATAATTTGAAATTCCCCCAAGTCCATTAGCCCTATGATTAGGGCAACCACACTAACTGACACGAACCTTTACTGATATTCAACATTGATCTAGTGTGCTAATTACTAAGAAGAGGTCTTACTGATTGGTTCGTTAATCCAGGTGTTGACGTCTTCTGGTCGGAGATGAGCAGGTAATGGCTGCTTTCGGTGTGCATATGTTCGATCACAAATGCAGAAAACGCACGGCAAAGTTGAACTATGACTCATGCCAATAGTCCTGAGGAGCGAAATCGGCTCGGTAATCTACTTTTCACAGATTCCGTTTTTATTTCACTTACACAAATGGTCGTCTGCTCATTTGAAAGGTTGAAAGTCTCCGGGGTTTCCTCCTAACATTGAGCAGTCAGTTGAATGTCGAAGTGAGCATTTGTCTTTTAGATTAAGGAACTTGCAAAATCAGAGGTTTTTTGCCAGCCGGCTGGATGTCTGACCTGAGTTGAGCCATTGCGGGTGTTCTGGGGGAGTAGGGTAAGCGCTGTATTCAGCTCTATCAAACTGCTTAGAGAGTGATATAGTCTTTTCCTAGCTGCGATATTGTCCTCATGAATCGTTCACAGTTATTCAAGCTGACTAGACGGTCCTTTCTCATATTGGTTGTTGTGAAAATGAGATTCCGATAACTACCGTGTTTCAGACGAGTTTAGATCGGGCTATATCGAGAAAGTACGGGTGTTTTTCTCTTCTGTATAGGATTTTCGTTGCCGAATTCGTTTTCCGCCTGCCCGATAGCAAGTCACGCGTATTGACAATATTCCACTGAACATGAAACTCAAATTATTGTCTATCTGGTAATAGAAGTCACTTCGAAGTGTGCTATTTCTTGAATTTATCCTCGTACGCAGTGACCGTTTCGCTTCGGGAAGGGACCGAGGGCTACTGTGCGTGAGACGGAACAAGGGGCTTCACCGTGGGAATATTGTGAGCGAAGTTTATTCCTCAGGGATATGATTACCTATTGTTGCTCACACGATTCGCGTTTTAATTTTTTGATTCGGCAACCTGGACTGTTTTGCTGTTAGGTTCATTTCGATGTGGTGTTTATTTATTATTTATCCGCGGTCTAGGGAAATGCACTGTGCAAAATCTCGTTCCTTGCCACCGGATATGAGCGCTAACTCCCGGTTGGTTGTAATTTGTCCAAATCTGAACCTTAACCTAGGCCTGTTTTCGAAAGACCTGCGGTGCTTAGGAGGCGTGTCTTGCAACCGCACTGCCCGCCTTTTACCCTAATTATAGGTTACGTTTTTGCTTGCGCTAGATGAAACGGGGGAATCGACACTTACAGGAGCTCGGTGACTTTTACACATACTGGACATAACAAACGAAATTAACGTACACCTGTCATCCAAACCCTATTCTTCATACTTAAGCACAACACATCTCTAGTGTGCCATTCCCCCAAATTAATCATCTTTCTTCAGTAATCGATCCTTGTGACACAGGATGTTTGCCACTCTCTATCAGGGTTAGCCAACAAACAAATCCAACACAGACCCTTTCTATAATGGTCATCTGAGCGTTTCTCATCAGTTTGCAGTTGGTGGGTGGTGCGTATGCAGTATTGCAAACACGAAATTTCCACCCGCATTTTAGGAGCACACTCATATTCTATTCATCCGGATTCTGGATATGGGAGCTTGACGGGTAAAGATCCCAGCTGATCGAGTTAAGTATTGTACTGTTGTCCATTTACCTCTCTTGTGATTGGTCGTTGCTCAGTATGCACCGCCATTATCTCTTACCTGTTCGCAACAGGGCCCGCTACATTTACCCCTCGTATCAGGCGATCAATCGTTGCGGAGGATTTTGCATATGTCCTGGTTTCAACCTCCTCATCTCCGCGTTTTCCAGGTACTTCAAGGAGACCACGGAATGTGACTTAGCTGGTATCGATGTTTCGTTTTTGGATCACAAATCTAAATAGACGTTCTGCGGAAAACGTGGCATGGTTCTGTGAAATAAAGGCCATCAGCAATCGACCAGAGTCCCAAACGCAAATGGTTGAATTCCCGAATCGATTCAGACGTGGGTTACTTTAAGAGTGAATTGGAAAAGTTTTTTTGGATCGTCGGTGCAGTTGGCCCATAATAACAAGGAGATCCTAATCACGAACTGCCATATCAGTCACTATTTGTCACTGTCACTGGATTCATCTATTCGCTACAAGAACTCGGAACTCACGACATGTTCTGGACTATTAGGGGATGAAATTATGTGAGTATAAAATTTACAAATCTCACCTAATCAAGAAGCATTCGACATGTTTCATTCCAGTGCCATCTTGCTGTGACGTAACCCAGTAGTTAAGGCGAGATTCTACTGACCGGAATCTCCGTGATTCGAACTCAACCCCGGTATCTCGAACGCTCCTGTCCAGGCTTTTGGAACTTCGTGGTATTTTATTCACCATACTTCGTTCGGATGGCGTGGTGGCTAGGTACCTAAAGGGTGTTACAACTGAGCGATTGCTATTTCATCATCATTGCCTTCGTGAAAATTCCTGACAGCCGAATCAATCCGTCTACACAACCGGGTCGTCTTCCGAATCACATTGCTCCAGCACGAAGGCATGCTCCCCACAGATTTGTCTAGAGTTCGCTATTTCTGGTCGGGAAGTTCACGTAGACAGGAAATCACATGTCGGTTGATACCAATATTAAAACAGCCAACTTCCTCTGTACCACTCTTGTTTAATCAGTTCATGTTTGAGCGTGTGTGGTGTGAGGGAGCTACATGTGCGCCTTCACTTTTGTATACTGTTGATCAGTCTCGTCTAAACCATAGGTGTTTGTTGACTGTCTGTTGACATGCGCCGGTTGAGAATGAATGCTTAGGGCTGCTGTACAACAGCGTTCTGTATATCTTGGCAGGTTGTTGTGCGGTAATTCGTCTTGATTAAAATCCCCGTGTTTCTGTGTGTCGAGACATAAGGTGCAATTTGGGAGTCTCCTCGGCTTAGTGGAATACGCATGTGTGGTTGTCTGCCAGTTTCCGTTATGTATCTGACTTCATATTCTTCGCACCGTATTTCCCATACACTGTCGGTTGAATCACCCGCCCCCACAGGGTCTATCTGGTCCACTAAGTACCTTAGTATTGTATTATGCAGTTGAGATTCCGTGCGTATATTGCGATCGTTCGTGGCTTTTTAGGAGTTTTGTTCCCCTACGTTATCTCTGCAGCCGTTGGAATAGTTTGCACGTTTTCAGGTGGTCTGGTGTTGCAGCGCTTCACTGTGTCGAAAATTGTACAGAGGCTCCATCCATTCATCTTCCTTTATTCCTTATTGGGTGTGTGGCAGGGAACCTGGAGGTATTCTCAGGTTGGTTTTGGTTGGTGCTGCGGAGGAGTGAGGGTTGTTTAAGTCACGGAAGTCTAAGTGCTTGAACCCCGTGATTTTGTAAACAGACGGAATTCGCCTCGACTGTGGCAAGTAAGCGTTGTCTCATGACCTTGGTGCTGTGTGCAGGAACATGGTTGACGGAAAGTTGAATGAAAACTGTTTGGCCATCGGAGGTTGTTGCTCAATCATTTAACATTAGCGTACCCATTGATGGCCTAGTCATCAGATTGAGTGAAAAGGACTCGATAGTCACAACCTGATTGAAAACCCTGCAACCCTCTGGTGACATTTACTATAAGGTGTTGGGAACAAAATAGTCAGCTGAGATTTTCGATTTATCTCGGATTTACTGGGCGGTGAAAAGGGTTCGATAATGACAACCTGATCGAAAACCCTGCAACCATCCGGAGACACTTAGTATAAGGTATTGGGAACAAACTAGTCAGCTGAGGTTTTCGATTTATCTCGGATTTGCTGAGGGTGAACCATTTTAGTGGAATTATTTCCTTGGTGTGAAAACCGGAC